TTTTTTTTTTCAAAGAAAACTAAGGCAGTCTTCAAAAAAGTTACACCTATCTAAAATTTCAATTTTCCTAGTGATCTTTCTTACTTCTCAACCTAAAAACATTCAGTAACAAATAAAATTTGAATACTTCGTTTCAGACGTCTCAAAACTTTCTTCGGTAACAATTTCAAATTGTTTGTCTTTCACTTCTGCCCTATTTCTTAACAAATTTCTTATCAGTCGCAAAAAAACAGCTGGAATTTAGATAGCTAATAGTGTTAGAACAATTAGAAATTTTGACCTAAACAAACTTCTACCGGACCATTACAACAGTGTGCTCTAAATTAATGATGTTCACCAGTTAGTCGTCTGATGAATAATTTAGGAATTAATCTGATTAAAATAAGTTTGCAGTTGATATTTCCCAAAAGCAACTTTTTAATTTCATATCACCACCGCTAAAAATATCAATTTCAGAAAGTCACGTCACTGTAATAATATTGTATCAAAAAGGTCCCTGTTATTTTACTCCTGAAAATGAATAAGTTTCGCACTGCTGGATTACCAAAAATCATAAGTTATCTAACGTATAAACGCTACTTAAGTATAACTGATTTACAAGTAGAGCCGTCGTTAAAGCGGACTGAAAACTCTAATTATTTATAAGAAGAAAATGATGGAAAACCTGCTTAAGATCACTTTTTTGAATAACTTTGGTGACGTGAAACAGTGCATCAAAAAATCGAGACTTTTTAAGTGGTTATTGTAATAAAGTTAATTACTGAAGGAGAATAAAAAAACTAAAAAAGTTATTTTATTTGTCAGAGAATCTGAAGAAATGTTTAGAAGTCAAACCAAATAACAGCTACGTTGCAGAAACGGCGATAGAAGAAACAGAGGTCATTTGAACATGTGCTGATTTCCTGTGACACAAACGCATTAAAGCTTGTGATTGTTGATTCTGAAAACTTTCTAAAAAACAACGCATTTTTTCCAGTGGAAAAAAGATCTCGAAAGCCTAGTCTGCTTTCATTCTTATTCTATAAGTTTTGTTTTGGCTACTATTCAAAAAGAACTACCTATGAGCGGTTCAACTGGTCTTCTCTTTTTATCTGAAATAGCAGATATGCGGTAAACCTTATCATAGCGCGGTCTTTCAATTACTAATCGTGAGTCTCTATAATGAGATGGGAAAAAAACTTTTTTTTGAAGTTTTTACCTTATTCTCTTATTCCTCATCAATGATACAATTAACAATTTACTATCAAAAAGAACTTTAGGCAGGGTAAATCGAGCAAGTCTTTGAATCTCCAATAACAATAATTTGATTATTTCTCAAGCATTTTAACTTATATATCTTACTAACAAGAAAAATTTTTATATATCTCAAAGTCTCTGAGTGGGTGCAGTAATTCCTAAAAAGTTTCTGTTTTAGCCGTAGAACTACATCGTTGTTCCATCGTTTTTGATGACGAGTTTTGTTCCTACAAATGGTGGTGCATACGTTTTTCAGCTGTGTAATTAGTTCTGTACATCGACTAGAGATGCCAAAACTGCCATAATAAAAACAGTTGTTTTTGCAGGCAAGAAATACTTCGTTTTTATTCATTTATTTGTTTTTTAGATATATCTTCGTAATGATAAAACAAGAGAAAATCAAAGAGACATATCACAAAGATAATTGACGACGTCTTTTCAGTCAAACGCTATCAAAGGAAAAAAATGTCACTTTTTACATTCTAAAAAAACTGTCTGTAGTAGTTTGGTTTTTTTTCTTTTATATACTTATTTACAAATGTTTCATTTTTTTTAGTATTTGTACTTTACAAAAATGGATCAAAACCACAAAAAAATTGACGAAATACTGTCGTGAAATTTGCAATTTTTACAACTTGATACAATCAGTGTATTATAACTTTCGAAGAAGTATTAAGTAGCTTCAGCAAATTTGCTCAAAAAAGGATATTAGTCCTTGTAGAACTGACTAATTGACTCTGTTATAGTGACATTTTGGCAGAA